TTTTCACAGTGCTTTTCCGGATAGTAGCACTTTAAGATATGCGGAGACAAACTGAAAGGTCCCATTTGCCGTGCCTATAATCAACGCTTATATCCTCGCGAAGGTCCCAAAGCTAGCTCTAAGAAAAAGCTGTCAATTTTAAACGATGTCATTTCTATGCAATTCTTGTAAAGTTTACTACGTCTATAAAGTTAGACGTAACTGTGTCCGCAAGAAGTATTTCATAGTTATGAAAGTTTGAAATACTTCTTGCGCACACAGTAACGTCCGACTATAAAGAACCGCATAATGAACGAATTTAGATTAAAATAGAGAGCTTCTTTTTAATTTAATTTGCATCTAGATATGAAATTTTAAAAAACAACTGTTTCTGGTTTCAGTCAAGCTTTATCTGAGAGAGTGAGAGAGAGCCGTTTCCTGGACTAGCATTGGAAGATGGGCCCCTAGAGCAGGGCTATGTAACTTATTCCTTAACTGCCTTCAACGTTATTAGCTGAGCGATTATCGAAGACATTACTCCACTGGACGAAAAGTTCCATTCTGTTTGATTGTCTGTTTGTCTGTCCGCACGATAACTCGAGAAGGAATTGAGATAGTGATCTGGGAATTTCAGCTAGTTTTGTATCATTAAAAGACAGATGATTTCGAAGATGAGCATTGTAGCTAAAAAATTTACTTTAAAAAAAATCGAGGGGGTATCCACTCAGGTAATAGTCGGGTCGCCCGTCCGGTAACAGTTTGGTAATAGTCAGGTAATAGACGTAATAGAAAGGTAATAGAGGTAATAGACAGGTAATAGAGGTAATACAGACGTAATAGTTGGTAATAGTTGCCTATGAAGGGGGCTTTTACCCCCCAAAATGCATTTTTGGGACATGCGTCAATAAAATTAGTTTCTGAGCCACTGTAGGGATAGAACCTGAGGGTATATTTCTCAACACAAGGGATGGCTTAACACATTAACAATATCAGATAGAAATGAACTTATCTTTAAAGAGGTCCCAAGTGTGTACTTTTATTTTCACAGGATATTTTCTTTTAAAGTTAACGCGCAGGATTCCTCCGGAGAAAGTGGTGACAAAAAACTGGTCAATAGCTTGTTTGTTTCAGTTAATCAAGACTGACAGCAGATTGACACAGGGGTTTTACTAAATTTGGAAAAATAAAAATTATTCTCTATTTTGAGTAAAAAAATATATTTTCAAAAGCCACTTATTATGAATAATTTTTATTTTTCAAAATTCAGTAAAACCCCTGTGTCAATCTGTAATCCTTGATGAACTGAAACAAACAAGCTATTGACCAGTTTTTTGTCACCACTTTCTGCGGAGAAATCCTGCGCGTTAACTTTAAAAGAAGATATCCTATGAAAATAAACACTGTAAAATGCTTGCAAACTTTATTCTTTGCAACGTTGCAAAGAATTTGGGAGCATTGTATTGCAAAGAATTAGTTCGTATTGCAAAGAAGTTCTTTGCAAGCTGGCAGAATCCTTGCAAACAATGTGTTTGCATTGCAAAGAAATAGTTTGTAAGCTTGCCAAGAACTAGTTCGTATTACGATGCTTGAAAATTCTTTGCAAGCTGCAAAGAAAATAGTTTGCAATACGAACCTATTCTTTGCACGCATTTTGCAGTGAAGGTACACACTTTGGACCACTTCAAAGTTAAGTTCATTTCATTCCAATATTGTTAATGTGTTGAACCATCCCTTGTGATGAGAAATGGACGTCATTATTGGCAGTCTTTGGTGCTGAAGTTGGTCCTACGATAATCTAGAGCAAAAATCCGACGGTGAAGGCAATGTATTGCTCTTGTAATAGTCGTGTAATAGACGCGTAATAGTGATGTAATAGAAGTTATAGAGAGGTAATTGAGGTAATAGAGAGGTAATACATAGGTAATAGAGGTAATAGGGAGTAGTCGGGCCACGATTTTGGAGAGTGGATACCCCCTCGGCGAAGAAGTTCATGTTCCCGAAGGAAATCACATCTTTCCTCTAGGTCAAATTGAAGTTGCTTTCATAGCCAATAAGAGGCTAAACCACCCACACCCATGCAACAGCCAATAACAGGCCGACGTGGGGCTATGCCTTTCTTTTCAGCTCAATCAGCTTTGGAGCTAGCACGCAAGGGTCTGCTAGCAGCGTGATTTTTACGCAAATTCGTTGGTGCCCTTGATTCGAGCACGTGAACGGAGGCGTGAAATCACGCTAGCTCGAAAGCTAATTCAGCTGAAAAGAATGGCATAGCCCCACGTCGGCCTGTTGTTGGCCGTTGCATAAAGTCAACTGCTAACTAAACGAACTCTTCACGGTCGCATCTTGTGAACTCTAAATTCACATTTACATAAATGTTATTATAACTTTTCACAACATTTTTGTTATGGAATTTAATGACAATGTTAGTGTTAATGCTTCACATAAATGTTATTGAATTTAAGAGAATTTTTTTCACAGTGCTTTTCCGGATAGTAGCACTTTAAGATATGCGGAGACAAACTGAAAGGTCCCATTTGCCGTGCCTATAATCAACGCTTATATCCTCGCGAAGGTCCCAAAGCTAGCTCTAAGAAAAAGCTGTCAATTTTAAACGATGTCATTTCTATGCAATTCTTGTAAAGTTTACTACGTCTATAAAGTTAGACGTAACTGTGTCCGCAAGAAGTATTTCATAGTTATGAAAGTTTGAAATACTTCTTGCGCACACAGTAACGTCCGACTATAAAGAACCGCATAATGAACGAATTTAGATTAAAATAGAGAGCTTCTTTTTAATTTAATTTGCATCTAGATATGAAATTTTAAAAAACAACTGTTTCTGGTTTCAGTCAAGCTTTATCTGAGAGAGTGAGAGAGAGCCGTTTCCTGGACTAGCATTGGAAGATGGGCCCCTAGAGCAGGGCTATGTAACTTATTCCTTAACTGCCTTCAACGTTATTAGCTGAGCGATTATCGAAGACATTACTCCACTGGACGAAAAGTTCCATTCTGTTTGATTGTCTGTTTGTCTGTCCGCACGATAACTCGAGAAGGAATTGAGATAGTGATCTGGGAATTTCAGCTAGTTTTGTATCATTAAAAGACAGATGATTTCGAAGATGAGCATTGTAGCTAAAAAATTTACTTTAAAAAAAATCGAGGGGGTATCCACTCAGGTAATAGTCGGGTCGCCCGTCCGGTAACAGTTTGGTAATAGTCAGGTAATAGACGTAATAGAAAGGTAATAGAGGTAATAGACAGGTAATAGAGGTAATACAGACGTAATAGTTGGTAATAGTTGCCTATGAAGGGGGCTTTTACCCCCCAAAATGCATTTTTGGGACATGCGTCAATAAAATTAGTTTCTGAGCCACTGTAGGGATAGAACCTGAGGGTATATTTCTCAACACAAGGGATGGCTTAACACATTAACAATATCAGATAGAAATGAACTTATCTTTAAAGAGGTCCCAAGTGTGTACTTTTATTTTCACAGGATATTTTCTTTTAAAGTTAACGCGCAGGATTCCTCCGGAGAAAGTGGTGACAAAAAACTGGTCAATAGCTTGTTTGTTTCAGTTAATCAAGACTGACAGCAGATTGACACAGGGGTTTTACTAAATTTGGAAAAATAAAAATTATTCTCTATTTTGAGTAAAAAAATATATTTTCAAAAGCCACTTATTATGAATAATTTTTATTTTTCAAAATTCAGTAAAACCCCTGTGTCAATCTGTAATCCTTGATGAACTGAAACAAACAAGCTATTGACCAGTTTTTTGTCACCACTTTCTGCGGAGAAATCCTGCGCGTTAACTTTAAAAGAAGATATCCTATGAAAATAAACACTGTAAAATGCTTGCAAACTTTATTCTTTGCAACGTTGCAAAGAATTTGGGAGCATTGTATTGCAAAGAATTAGTTCGTATTGCAAAGAAGTTCTTTGCAAGCTGGCAGAATCCTTGCAAACAATGTGTTTGCATTGCAAAGAAATAGTTTGTAAGCTTGCCAAGAACTAGTTCGTATTACGATGCTTGAAAATTCTTTGCAAGCTGCAAAGAAAATAGTTTGCAATACGAACCTATTCTTTGCACGCATTTTGCAGTGAAGGTACACACTTTGGACCACTTCAAAGTTAAGTTCATTTCATTCCAATATTGTTAATGTGTTGAACCATCCCTTGTGATGAGAAATGGACGTCATTATTGGCAGTCTTTGGTGCTGAAGTTGGTCCTACGATAATCTAGAGCAAAAATCCGACGGTGAAGGCAATGTATTGCTCTTGTAATAGTCGTGTAATAGACGCGTAATAGTGATGTAATAGAAGTTATAGAGAGGTAATTGAGGTAATAGAGAGGTAATACATAGGTAATAGAGGTAATAGGGAGTAGTCGGGCCACGATTTTGGAGAGTGGATACCCCCTCGGCGAAGAAGTTCATGTTCCCGAAGGAAATCACATCTTTCCTCTAGGTCAAATTGAAGTTGCTTTCATAGCCAATAAGAGGCTAAACCACCCACACCCATGTCGCTGCAATTAGCAGTTTTTATCCAAAATAATAATTTCCCTTACCTATGCACTTGACAGTATTCCACAGGTCTGCCCCCTTACGGGCGTAACATTCGTTTGCGTTTTGATAAGTTACGGAGTCCTGTAATCGTTCTGAAGATGGCCCAGGGTAGGGTTGAAAAATCAACTTTCTTCAAACTCCACCCATAGAATATTCGATTTGTGTTCCTCTTACATTACTCGTATTCGTAGCGTAGGTTTATTCGTACCCGTAAGTGTAAACCGTAGTGTAAACCGTAATCAGACTCTGGTTACGACCATAATCTTAATTTTTAACAGAAACCGGGGCAAATTACGACAATGATCGTTAATTTTGCCTCTAACCGTAGCCAGGATTTTAGGCTGGGTTACAACCTGAAAAAAGTTGAAATTTTCCGCATATCCTTTAAATGAGGTTCGTTTCATTGTTAATGAGGATTGTTAAGGAAATAAAATTCCTCTCTTTTTTCTTAGGTGGGACTGGCAAGAAGTCTGACCCGCGACAATGTCCTATACAGCAACAAGCATTCTCGGCAATTTCTCTGTTACGAAGTTTCTGACTAACCTGACGCTGGCAGCCATTTTGTGGCTACTCATCTTGCAGGCTTTTCAATTTCTACGTAAATGTATCCATTTTCGTCGTATAGAACAGACTATACCAGGTGCGTAATCGCAAGAAAGGTAAGGTCAAAGGTAGGATCATGCACACACTTAAACTGCTGAAGGGCAATTTCAGGCGCAACGTACGGACGTTCGTTAGGTCTTCCATTTCGACGCGTCCTAACACACACGCCTATTTGCAACGCTCTGAGTACACAACACATAAGCCGAGAGGCCTAAAAACGTTTAGCAGTTGGTAAGGGGGTTATTCCTAACTAACGGCCCATTAGGAAGTTCCTGAAATATTTCTTTTGGTCCAACTTGTCAGGGTTTTTGTGCGGAATGGTTTTATTCAACTCCAAATAGAATATGTGCACAAGTTGTGATAGTTGGGTTCTACGACGGTTCACATAATTTCTTTCACACAATGTCCTTTTGCCCAATAACATTTGACATAACACCTTTAACACAATTTTTTAAACATAAATACCGTTTCACATAAGTTTCCCTTTTACATATAGTACTGTTTTGCATACATTTCTTTTTACATTTTCCTCTGTGTGTGAACCCATTTATTCTGGCAGGCCCCCTCGAATTTTTTCTGTCTTCGGCTCGCTCTTCTGCTTTTAAAAAGCTGTTGAGTGGGCTTATACTATAGACCCAGGAAACACAGTTAAAGCAGGCCACCAAAATGACAAAATTTTGACACTGACATCACGTGATATCACTTTGACAAAACCATTTTCTCTGGGACCGGGTGTCTAAATGTCGAACTTGGTATTTTGAGCGTGTCTTATGGGTCACACGTGGGCACGGAAAAGCCTTGTTCAAATCCTGGCCCACTATTTTAAGTGGGTGAAATGAGCTTTGTACCGG